ATTTCCTAATTCATATCGTATGCAAAAACAAATTCCAGATGGATTTATGACCTAAAAATGAAAAAGTAAAACTTCAACACTTCTAGAGAGGGGACAAAAGGTAAATATTGGCATGAGCTCAGTGTAGGTATGAGTTTTTAATGTAAACTTAGCAACCATGTGTATTTTGTTCATATGGATCCCACGTACCTAGAACAGAGCCTGCACTCAGTAATCGTTAACATTTAAAAGTACCAACGCCTCAGAAACCCAAAGGAGCGGTTCTACTCTGCCCAGCGGGTGGCTATGAATCAGAGCTATTCAATCACAGTTGGTCTGGTTTGGGGTGGGATTAAATACACAAGGAAACAATTCACAATGATGAAGGCTCCACACACACAAACTAAAGAATATGGCCTGAAGATACTATAATTAGCAAAACATACAATACAAAATAGCTATGTTTAGTAAATAAAAAGTAGTAAACGTATAATGAAGTAACAAGAGACAGTCAGAGCTGACCGGCTCTTTTAAATGATATAAATGGAATTTTTAGAAGTTATACATGTAATGGGCAAGTTAAACAGCAGAGTGCACGAAGTGAAAGAGCTAATTAGGGAACTGGAAGTATCTAAAGAAATGGCATGGGATGTAGCACAAAGAGACCGACAGGTAGAGGTTCTGAGACACGCTGCAAGAATGGAGTCTAAGAGTCACTGCTGAGGTTGTGAGGAAGATACGAGAGGGGGCGGGAGTGCGTGTTCACAAGGAAAGTGAAGTCATCACTCCACAGATTCAAAACCCAAACACACTTGGAAAAAAAGAGATGCCAAAGCACATCATACTGAAAGAACCAACACTAAGAACACAAGATCTTAAAAATGCAAGGGGAAAAAGACACACTACTCGTGTCAATTAGACTGAGAACGGATTTGTCAGTAATAACAATGCAAGCCCAAGTGGAACGTGCCCAAATGCTAGGTGAAACTAACTGTCCACGTGGACTTCCACCTCCAGTGAGAAAGAAGCAAGACGAAATAATCACAGAGAAGTGAAACAAGCACATCTACTTTAGGAAGCCCAAAGGAAGAGGGAGGTGCAAGGAGTTTTCTACCTAACAACAGTTGCAGTGTATCAGCTTTATTTTTTAACCCAAACCAACTACCATCGAGTCAATTCCAGCTCCTAGTAAGCCTGTAAGACAGAGTACATTGCCCCTTTGTGCTTCCGAGACTTTCAAATCGTCCCAGGTACCGGTAGCCTCATCTCTCTCCCTCGGAGAGGCTGTTGGACTCAAACCACTGACTTTGGAGTCAGCAGCTCGATGTATAGCCCATTATACCATCGAGGATCCTAGCTTCACTTTACACTCATGTGAACTTGAAAGAGAGAAAGGCAATCTATTGTAGAGAGGAAAAGAGCACTCTAATGCATCCAGATACATTAGAGTCATATAAGCCTTCTCCCAACAACCCTGGAACCACGTCTGCTATGCTCTGGCAGAACCTGGGTAAATTCTGAAATACTGAGTAGAAGGGGCAGATGGGACAAGTCAGCCTGAAAGTAGGGGAACTGAAAAACAAAGCCTGGCAACTTCTGCAACTGATGAAATTTTGTAGATGAGGACTATATTCAAAAGACCTCTGAGAAAGTTTGTAAAAACTTCAAAACTCACTGCCATCAAGTCAATGGTAGTGCAGTGGGCTACACCGTGGGCTGCTAAGCACAAGGTTATAAGTTCAAAACCACCAGCTGCTCCACAGGAGAAAGATAAGGTTTTCTACTCACATAAAGAGTTAACAGTTTCAATTGGACATCCCCCCCCACAGAAAGGTTACAAGGAAGGGACAATTCAACCAGGGTGCAGTATAGCACTGATGAAACACACATCATTCCTCTAGTTCAGCAGTTCTCAATCTGTGGGTCACAA